TTACCTCAAGGACGACCTCCCACTGAAGAATAATCCAAATCTCTGCAAATCCCCTTGATCCAAGCTTCTTGATCTTCAAGATCTCTTCACCAAAACCACTTATCTAGGCTCCAATTTGCTTCCAAGGGCTCTCACTCACGATTTAGGGTTTCTGGATCTCAAAAGGGTAGTAAAGAGGCTGGGGGAGGGATATAATGTTCTTTATATAGGACACAACCCCCGGGATTAGGGTTTTTCTCTCTACAGCACCAACTCGTCGAGTCCTAGACGCCAACTCGGCGAGTTGGCCACTTAAACCGCGACGGAATCCCGCTCCGACTCGGCGAGTAAGCAGGCCTACTCGTCGAGTCCCTTTCCTTAATTTACACTTTAAGCCCTTCAATAATACTTTTGGAATTTGGGATGTTACACTTTGCTTAAAGCAAAAAAGGTTAGCAATTTCATCTACAACCATAAGTGGGTGTTAAGTTTATCCCGGAAGATTTTCGACTGGCCTCCACGAGATTCGCCACTGCTTTTCTGACTATACAAAGCATTTACGAATCGAAACAAAAATTACAACAAATGTTTGTTTCAAACGAATGGGGGCATCTTCTTGGGCTAAGAAACCCGATGGTAAAGAGATAAAAAAAATAATTAAGGATGAATGAAATTTTTGGTCTAGTGTGGTTTATTCCATGAAAACTACAATGCCACTTGTTCAAGTTTTAAGGCTTGTTGATGAGGAGCAAACATCAACAATGGGATTTATTTATGGGGCGATGAACGGGTGCCAAGAAAAAATAGCAAAGAACTTGGATAACAACCTCGCTTCTTATAAAGAGATCTGGGACATTATTGATAAAAAATAGGAGTCGCAAATGCATCGTGATTTGCACGCGGTTGCCTACTACTTAAATTCACAATATCGATGGAGTCCCAATGTTCTGAGCATCCATAGATTAACCGCGGATTGTATGATGTCATGGAAAGGCTCGTGAAGGATACAACAATTTATTTGAAGATTGAAGATCAACTCGTTGCTTACAAAGAAAAAAGAGGATTATTTGGATATAGAGGTTCTTTATCGACATATCAGACACGTCCACCTGGTATATTATTACCAACTTTTGTTATATTATTACCTATTTTTGTTATTATAGTTATAGTTTTTATTTTATATAAATTACATTACTTATTAACTTTTTTATAAACATATATAGTTACACGGTGGGGGGGAATATGGAGACGATGCTCCGGAACTCAAGTCCTTCGCAATAAAGGTTTTGGGTCTTACGTGTTCCGCTTCGGCTTGTGAACGTAATTGGAGTACGTTCAATCAAGTCCATACAAAGAGACGCAACTGGTTAAACACCGAAAGAACGAACAACTTGGTTTATGTCATGTATAATAAAAAGTTGAAGCAAAAGTTCATTAAGAGGACTAAATTAAAAGAAGATGACCCCTTAGTTGTTGAACAAGTATTGTCGGATGATGAGTGGATAGTTGCCTCAAGTGATTGTGAGGAAGATGACATTGGAGGTGGCAGGGAATTAGGGGAGGAAGATGGCGGGGAAATGGGAAGACCTAGAGGTAGCGGGGTAACCGGAAGACCGATAGGTGGGGGGACAATTAGGGAAGGAAGTGGAACTAGAAAAAGGAAAAATGTTCAATTGAATTTGATTGATGAGGATGACGGGGTTCAATGGGGTCAAGAAGATGAGGGTGACCCTTTAGAAAGCGATGCGAAGAATGCTGATTATTATATTTGAACTCAATTACTAACTTTTGTGTTTCCTATGTGGCAGTGTCTTTTGAAGTTTTAGATTTTTTTATGTTTTTGAATGTATTTTGAAGTTTTAGACTTTTTAATGGATTTGATGGTTAAATTAGCTTAAAAAGATATGTTTAGTATTTTATTTTTTTTATTTTATATATTAGCTTTCTAAGGCTTTAGATTTGGATTAACACTATATTACGGACATGGTCTTCACGTTGCAGACATGTTCTTTGCGTTTTAGACTAGGTTTTTTCGGTTAATAATCCATAAAAACACAAAGGAAGTAAGAAGTAACCTGTAAAATCTCAATATTGACATTATCGTGTGTCATTTCTGACTTCGTCAAATATGTCCAAGACGTCTGGTATCTTGGTGTGCATTACAAAATTCCGTTAAGTAGTCAATCACTTAGTCGGGAAGTCGTTTTAAAACGGGCCGGTCTGTACTCGACTTTGGAATAATCCATTTCGGACTAGTTGATCGTTTCTTATATAATATCCTATATATATATATTATAGATATATATATAGTATATATATATATTATATATATAGAGAGAGAGAGAGTATATATCTATATATTATCTATATTACTAGACGAATCCCCGCGCGTTGCGCGAGGATAGAATTATATAGTAAAAATAATAACTTTTACCAAATTATTATTTAATATTTCTACTTTGAAACAAAATGTTAGTAGTAAACAACAAACATATAGTTAACATATTCGTTTATTAACATTATAGTTTAATTTTAAGTCGTTGTGATATATAAAATTATTTGATAATTTTATAAACCGTTTAAAATTGTATAAATTATATATCAAATGAATGATAATATAACGGGTAACAAAACGTATGAAGAAAAATATGAACTGCAACTTTTAGTAGCATCAAAATAGAAAAACATATATTATAACATTTGTATTAAAAAAGATATATAAATACAACGAATAAGAAAAAATATGAAAAATAAACACTATAACTTTTAATAACATAAAAATACTAAAACATTTATTATAACATTTATATTAACTCTTCATATTTAAATCACAAATCTCTTCAAATACATTAATGTTTTTAATGAGCATAACTTTACAACATTATTAAAAAAAGGAAAATAAAAAGTTATTAGTGATTACTTTAATAATCATAAGTTAAAAACTTTTGAGTTGTAACTAATAAATATACATAAATTAGAAAACTCTTGTTGTAGTGTGAGTTTCAAATGAATGCGGTACTTGGAAATGTATATTTATTATTATTATTATTATTATTATTATTATTATATTATTATTATTATCTTATATTCATCTAAATAATTGGTTTTGATGCCATCATTTAATCCCTTCATTATTAAACATAAAGATATTTATTATAATTTTACACTACCTAGGTGTATATACATGTTAAACCAATCACCATATATATATATATATATCTATATATCTATATAGATATCTAGATTTCGTAAATGTCATATGTAATTCTTGTCGTAGTAATATGGGATAATTACTTTCATATGAAGACCATATCATGATAAGTCTATCATAATTACATATCAAATGTTCAAAATTATGTTATCTTTTAAATATGGTCTTTTTAAATAGTGTGGGAATAACCCAACAAAAAATAATAGAAATAAACATAATCAAAATAGAAAAAACTACAATCAAATAAATAAGAGCATTGGGTGGGTGAATATATAAATAAGATGTTACATAACATACATTTAAATCAAAAGAAACAAAAAACATATATCCATTTTATGAATATTCTTTCTTCATTTAACACCATTCAACCATAGAAACTTGATGACAATTCTTCAATAACCTGCAATCAATATTTTTCTTGAAAAAAGAAGAATCAGAAAGATCTTCCAAGCAAACACATTGATGTTTGGCAAGTCACATTCAAGATTAAGTAATACACACAAATCACATATAAAGATTCAATGAGAACGGAATATAGAGAAAGAATAGAAAGCTTTATTGGTTTTGGTTGAAAAGAAAAAATCATATTACAATTACCATCGATGCGACATAACCCATTTCTTCAATCATCATATTTGATCGTGAATGCGTCAACTATATGAAAACTTTTGAATCACAATATATTCAAATCCTTCTTACATGTAATTTTATATAACACAAAAAACACAAAAGATGACATTTTATAGCAAACTTTTCACTAAAGACTAATGAAACCAAGATATAAGGATAAAACTTTGAGTGTTAAATCATTAATTAAGAAAACTTTGAGTTGCAGGAGGGAAAAAAGGGGGTTTCAAATGAAGGTGGTTTGAGGAAGGTAAAAGAGGGGGTTTTCAAATGCATGAGATTCAAGAAAAATGCTAGCTTTATAAGGATGTATGATGTATGATATCTAGATATTAGAGTAGATCTCATATATCTATAGATCGATATATATAGATATATATTATATATTATGAGGCCAGTTCAAACAAAACAGGAAAATAGTGTGGAGAACGTAAAACACTTTTTATGTTGAGTATTCTGCAACTGAATGGTGGATCGACAATTATGTCATTATGCAGAAGAAATAAAGAATCGTTAAATGTAAAATAAAAATGAGAATTTACTACAAAAATGCCATAGGTATAAGGTTATACTAGAAGTAAGAACAGGGTAATGGGAATAGATGACTAATCGAAAGGTAAGATTTAATTAGAATTACTTCAACAATACACGTAAAAAAATGCATTACAGAATAATATCATAAACATAGTGTTTTACGTTATCACACGATTTACTGTTTTTATTGAAACTTACTTCCTATATATATAGATATATATATATATATATATCGATATTATATATATATAATATATATATATAATCTATATATATATCTATATATATATATATATATCTATCTATATATAGAGAGAGAGTTTAATTTAATCAATATCTAACTTCCGCACTCAAAGTATTATTTTAACACGTTTAAACGACTAATGATCAAAATTTATACGGTATTTACGAATCCTAATTTTGTATAAACAAACAAGATAGATAAAAGAAGATGTTCACATATATTTTCCTAAAAAAAATTAAATATCCTTCTACATTTTTTTTCCTCTGTTCCTATCCTACTCCTACTCATTAGAATACTAAGATTTATATTTTAATTTCAAATAATACAATTACTTTTATGTCAAAACTAGAGCATATTAGTGGGTAAATTCGCCCTCTTGTATATTAATACGCTTTCAGTCGTTCGCGACTCAATTCCCTACTTTTAACACCTACAATTTTAATGTTAAATAATGCGACTTAATTCACTTAACTGCCTCCACAAATCGGAAATACAAACAGCAGTGGTGGTGGTGGTGGCCCGCCAGAAAGCGGATGATGCGATACTTATATGCCGCCGGTGACACCAACCTCACCCTCACCTTCATCGATTCTTTTTCTCTCCGATATATGAATTTCAGCATTTCTACCCAATGTTTTCAGATTTTCAAAACAGCAGCTGTTAATTGATTCCCGATCAAATATACGAAGCTTTCATCACTTTCAACTGAGAAATGCTGTGCAGAGGAAACTCGATAAAGTGCCGGAAAGAAGGATCGGTGCCGGTATACCTCAATGTATATGATCTCACCTCCATGAATGGCTATGCTTATTGGCTAGGTCTCGGTGTCTATCATTCCGGTGTCCAAGGTTTGAATTTCACTACTCTTTTACTCCGATTCAATTCAACTCGATAGGAAGTTAACATGAGCGAAGTAGTTTATGTTTATCCGATCACGAATCCAGTAGCTAAATTACTTTTTTCCTGGTTTTAGTTCATGGAGTAGAGTACGCATTTGGATGTCATGAACAAGCGACGACAGGGATCTTCGAGGGAGAACCGAAACAATGCGAAGGATTTACTTTCAGGAAGCAGATTCTGATCGGATGGACGGAGAAGAATCTGAGAGAAGTGAGAAGAATCATGGAAGATCTTGCTGAAGATTACAAAGGCATTTCATATAATCTCATTACCAAAAACTGCAACCACTTCTGCAATGACGTTTGTGTTAGACTCACCGGAAACTCGATCCCTAGTTGGATCAATCGACTCGCCAGAATCGGTAATCAATTGAACTTTTCCTAAATCTGATCGTAAAATCGTAACGATTCATTAAGATCTGAACGCTTTTCTGGTGATAAATCTAGGTTTTCTGTGCAATTGTATAATTCCAGCGAGTATAAGTTCGATCAAAGTCGGAATTGAAGATAACAAAGTGCACAACGAAGGAGAAATGAAAAAGCTGAGAAGCCGTTCCAGCAGGTTCACCTCGTCTTCGAGTTGTTCACCGGCGTCGGAAAATTCGCCGTTGACATCTCCCACGGTTGCTCCGACGACAGGTCATAGAACCACATCTTCTCTCCCTCCACCTTCTCCTTTGATTCTAGATTCTCCCAAATCCTAACAGATTTTTGATTTTTCATTCCATCTTTCAATCAAACTGTTCTTCGTTTAAATTTTTTCTTCATTCATGTTTTTAATTGATTTATTTTTCTCCTCCATTGAAACTGTTAACAAGATTTCCACCTTGAATACATTTGGAAGAATGATTCTTATGAATCAATCTACAATCTCTGACTAATTGAAAAATTAGGTAAATTCAGTTATGCCATTTCACGATAGTTCTTTGAGCAACATGGGGATCTTCTTTGTAGAACACATGATGCAATGAATGCAAAGGACAGGGCCAATACGCATGATATATAGTATATTGTCCTTTATGTTGGCTTTCTTCGTATTAATTCTTTATTATTATGATTGCATGTATTACTTGGGTCCCATTTAATGATGCGAAAAAGATATGTAAGGTCCATTTAATGATGAAAAAGAAAGAAAGAAGCTACAAAAATGATATAAAAAACAAAACGGAAAAACAATCCAGTTTAATATTTAGGGTTTAGGATTTATTATTTAGGACAAATAGAATCACAACCCAAATTGACATGTTCATATATGAATATGTAAAAATTCCTAGTGATAATTAATATAATATCACATACACATTATTCCGATTGAGGGGAAGGATTTTGAATGCTATAAGAAAAAGATCAAGAAAAGTTTTGAAAAAATTTATAAGTATAAGCAATAATTTTCACCAACTAATGGCAAAGAAATCCTACAGAGTAGATTTTATTCTTCTAGGTAGGACCATGGATACAGTGTATGTTTAGACAAAAATAATTGAAAAATGGAAACTATATGATATAACTTTTATTTATATGAGTATATTTTATAAAAATAATAGTAAAATTTTGAAAAATGTAAAGAATACATAAAACATTAAAACATAAAACTAAAGCTACTTTATGAACTTTTTATTCTAAAAGATTAAACTTTAATACCTTATTTTTATACAACATTTTTTCTTTAATTCGAGTTTTATATACTAAAAACTAAAAAATTCTCAAAGTATTTAAAATCCTGATGTTAAACGCGCCAAAATAACCACATTTAATATTTTTTTTATCTATTTGATCACAAAAGATACAACTTTTCTAGGTCACCCACCATTTGAATAATTTCTCCCCTTTATTTATAGTTTTTACCTTTGCAAGTTCAAAGATCTAAGTGTAAATGGACCCATTGGAGGTCCACATAGAGAACCCATAATCCCTCCCCCTCATAACAACCACCATAGGATTCTTTTGGCACATATGGTGACTATTATTGGCAATTTAATATATGGAGAAAAAAAAAAAAAACAGTTGAAATCCATAAAAAAAAAAAACTATATTTTCTTAAACGGGTTAAGAAAGCTATAAATATATTCTATCATGGATTTAAATTTGATCCAAATGTTATTAAGTTTGTTTATAATCTTGGACATTTTTCATGTAGTCGATTTGTATATAAAAACAATTAAGGATTCATGTCACATTTTTTAGCTACCAACAATCATTATTTTGTTTTTAAGTCATCAAAGTTGTAATTGTGAGATCGTATCTGATCCGACTTTATACAGAAGCTTTGCGAATGCTCTTCAATATCTGACATTTACTCGTCTTGATATTGCATATGTTGTAAAACATATATGTTTCTTTATGCATGACCTATGTGTACCATATTTTTCAAGGTGTTGGTACACATATGGGTTCTGTTTATCTAGGGAATACTTAGACCATGTTATAGGGGCTTTCAACTTTGGTCAAAAGTGGAGAGCTTGAATTCGTTCATGTTTATCGTCAGCTAGTGCCTCAGTTTTGATGAATGGTAGTCTCGCTAGCTGCTAAGGATCGTATAGAATTGCGACACTTTATGGAGTGTAATCGACCAAGTGATGAAAGTATGCCTTTCTAGGAATTACATATGAAGGATTAGTCTATAGAGGATGTTTTCATGAGGTCCATTATCACAACTAAGTAGAGGTTTTGATTATTCTCTGATAATCTTGAGAATACTAGTGATAATGTGAAAATAGTATTAGTCGACAAAGTCGAGACCCGAAGGGAATACAAATTATTTAAGTTCGTAAAACTTTATCATTTAACCCTTAGTGATAAAAGGATTATTCAGTGAAAAAGGAATAGTTTGGTTCAACGTAGTTGATGTTTTGATGATGAATCTAGGTTGACAGTCTGATAAGCTATCAAAAAAAACCTAGGATGTTTTGTCGAGTATTAGACAATATAGTAAGGTGATTTAGTATTGCAGGAGTACAGTACGAGGTTAATCCTTGATTACGATGGAGAAGTGACTTGCGGGATCATTATCCAACGTTCTTTTGCTGATGATTTTGGGACATAATCATCCTAACGGGGAGTTTATTGTAACGCCCGTAAGTTAGGGCTAGATGATTAAAGTATAATAAGTAATAATTATTATAAATAAAATCTTCGAATAAGATAATAATTTGTTACGAGCGATAAATAGATGTTTTTGATAGAAAACTATTTTGGATAAATGATCTTGATAAGAGTTGTAGTAGTCGTGATGACGATTCTGTGAGTATATAGAACACTTAATCTGACTTCGTATGAAGAAATTATGATTGTTCGAAGTTTTGCATTCAACCTTATACGACAAAGTACGTCGTAAAATATGAATCGGAGATAGGTTGCTTATTATCCTAAGTAATCTAAATGAAAGTCGTAGTAATCATCAAAGCGTGAACGTACATATAAAGAACGCCCAAATCTGACTTCGTATGAAGAAGTTATGATTTTTGGAAGTTTAAGTACATCAATATGCGACACAAAAATCGAAATTTAAATCAGTTGAGTGTTAGCCAAAACAATCTCTCGATAGTTGAAGATCTCGTAAATATGAGCCTGTAGATATAGAGACAGTCAAGAACGGAGTTTGTATGAAAGATTTATGATTTTTTACATGGACTTTAATAGTCTAATCTCTATTAAAATATAAATTTAAAATAGATTGAGAATTAAGTGTTGAGACCTTAAGGAAAATTATAGACCTCGCCGAGAGGCACCTTAAGGAAAATCCACATTGAACGCCTTTACCCACCGGTATGTATATTCAAGTGTGAGATTAGAAAGTCGAGGATGACCGATATTCAAAGCATCCGTTCCAATCACGTTGCTATTTCTCGAGGACCGGTTCCAACATTGAAGACCCGACAAGAACCGAAATCGGAACCGGTAGAACCGGCGGTCCGGTTCAGTTCCTATTTTCCACTAAGTTCGGTTCCCGGGCCGGTTCCGGCCGGGTCAGTTTCGATGCTCATCCCTAGTGGTTCAGGTGCTTAGTAACAGCTTGTAATTTCATTGTGTTGTATCCCCTGAACTGACCCTAGTATCATATTAGATTTCTTTATGTCTTTATATAATATTAGTCGTAAAAAAAAGTTGTGTTTTGATTATGTTCTTCCGATGATGGTCAACAGAGATGTTGCAAGAGATAATGAACATAGGACAGTATGGTGGTGGGTGGTGGTCTATAGCTCTATAACAGAAGAAAATTATGTTACGTGTTTTTTTATTTAACCAGTAGACTTGTTGGAGGAGTTGGCCAGAGGGAGTTGTTGGAGAAGATGGTCGGAAGGAATTACCGGAGAAGATGAGTTGTCGGAGAAGATAACCGGAGGGACAGGTTTGAGATGGTGTGTTGAGACTTTTAATAAATGCTAAAAAGTAGTAAATATAAATAACAAAAAGACAAAGAATACAAAAAAACAAGGGTAAAAAGGTCATTCTATATGTATTTAACGGTAATATTTTAACAGAGTTAGACGGAAGTACCATTTCTGTAATTTACTCTAATAATAATAGAAGTATTAATTATAAAAAAGTAAATGTATATTAATACCTAATAATTTGTGTTAAATGTATACACTAGTTAAGATAGTGTTGCCTAAACGGAGTTGGTATTGGAAATTGATTATAAGCATTGTAGTCTTGACTAGTGATAAGATAAGACTTATAAAGTATGCTTAGTTTGAGTTAAGTTGAAAAGATGTTAGATTTACTGTAACGAACCAAAAATCCAAGGTAAAAATTTCATTTTTAATACACTCAAAACACTATCGTAACTTTGATCAAGACATTGTAAAGCATTTCAAGTAAACAATTATCAGAGTCCAATTCTCAAAGATCATGAATTGCGGAAAACATGGGTGTATGTGCTGCGATCGTCCCGAGCTCTTTCATTTGAAAACTGGAGTACCTGAAACAAAACTGAAAACCGTAAGCACAAAGCTTAGTGAGTGTAACGCCTGGTTCCTGATATGTATTTAAAATCATAATTTATTCACATTTGTAGAGAAACTCGACGAGTTGGGAGCCCTAGACTCGTCGAGTAGAGATGATTTGGGACGCGGTGTCACACCCCCGAACCAGACGGCGGAAACGTCTGGGGGCTCGTATGACTAACAATTGAATAATCATCACAATGAAAATACATGAAGCATAACACATTCATCACCAACATTACATAATACAATTGGCATTGTTTACATCAAGTACATTGTTAAAATACATAAGTTCTAATTGTTAAAAGTACGATAAGTGTTGTTACATAACATAAAACCATACACTTGCATATCTTCCAGCTTAACGATTACCTGAGAATACAAGTTATTTTGAAAACGGTCAACATATATAATGTTGGTGAGTTCATAAGTATGTTTGAGTAAAAGTCTTTGTATCTTTCATAAAAACCCAGAAAATCCGATATTTTCTGTAAAATGTCTGAAAATATTGTGAAAATCAAGTATAAATGCATGTGTGAATTACACAGTTATAGCCTATAAAAGAGTAGTTTAGTTTCATTGTATTGTGAATAAATGATAAATGTATATGAATAATTTCCCCCAGAAAATCCGATATTTTCTGTTTTATATCAATGTCTAAATTCTTGTATCGTTAAATAAGTCGTTTTGCATTAACGCAATTAAAGAGTTTATCTTCAAAAGGTTATCTTTTGGTATTGAATCCCTATATGAGTCGTTATAACAATGCATGATAATGACTAGGTCGCCCGTCTTGGTATTTTTTCAAATGCCGGTCTTGACTAAGGATGTTGTCGCCCTAGACTTGCCTAGTCTAGCTGTAGCGAGCAGCTAAGGCGTGGGGGGTCACCCTGTATAGATCTATACACAAACTCCCGCTTTCCTACCAGGAAACTCTGATTATAACTACAAGCTACGATTGTACACTCAGTGGTGCCAACCGACAAGTCTCACTA